AAGCCCAACCTGGAGAACCTGGGGCAGCCCAGCAGAGCTAAGGGAAACCACCTGGGCCAGGCTGGTGCCTGCAAGAACCCTGGGGAGACCACAGGAGCTGGTGAGGAGCAGAGCCAGATCAGGGGAAGCCTGGAGTGGTCTCAAAGAAGCACTGGGGCTTGTGCAAGCTGAAATGGAAAAAAAAGAAGCCAAATGGAGAAAACAAACCCAAACAAGCCTGTGTGCAGACACTTGTGAGGAAAGTAAATAGGTTTCTAGGCCCTGCAGATGTTTATTTCAAAGAAGGGAGAGATTAATGAAAAGCCATAAACCGTACCCAGCAGGGGTGCTGAGAGCACTGGGGTTTGGTGTCATCCAGAGTATTATTTGAATAACTAAAGCAAGCATTGGCATGTCCAGGCCCCAACCTGTGGAGTGGTATCCAGGGTGGGTTGGGCTCAGCTGGCTCTGAAAGTGTCCTTGTTTCTTCCCATTGTCATTTTGAAGCCAATCTCAGGATTGGGCTGCGATTGCTGCTGTGGGGTTTAGTCATCCCTGAGGCAGCTCTGCAAGGTCCCACTGCTGTATCTGCCACCTAATGCACCTCCTCACTTTGGAAAGCAGCATGCCCAAGGCCCCAGGCCACGTGGACCCCACCGCAGCAGGGCAAGGCTGGCATGTCCCTCTGCCAGCCCCACAGCCACAGTGGAGGATGCTTTGGCTGCAGGGACTGTCACAGCTGCCACACATGGGCTATGGGGACAAGAACAAGGAGCCAGGGCCAGGTGTGTGCTGCATATCTTGGGGATTAAATGGGGCCAAGAGGGTGGTGAAAGACCAGTGTGATGTTAAAAAAGGCTCAGTTAGGCATGGCCAGAATATTAATGCCCTAGGGAACATAATGCTGCTTGCTCCAGCCATGAGCAACACTTTTTGGTGCTGGAGTTGGCACAGGAGCACCTGCAGAGGGGTCACCTCTCTCTTTCCACCTCTGTTTTATCTCTCAACAAACTCCCACTTTCTCTGATAGCTGACTTCTCCTTGGAGCCCATTTTGTAATGCCTGAACATTTAAGGATGCACATCAACCAAATGCAAGGGATGGGGTCAGTGGGGGGGGAAGCTGGGTGAAATATTTCTGGCCCAGAACATGCAGGAGCTGATAGTACCTCTGGCTTTAAAACTCTGTTACTCTGCTTGTAATAAATTCCCCAGTGGCTTCCCAACATCTGCATTATTTTTAACCATCCAGGAAGCTACACGGTTAATCACTTTCTGCGTGCGAGCTAATTGGCCTGTGGCCTTTCCCAAACCCCTTTTAAGAACAGACTTCTGAGGCTCAATCATTAAGATCCATTAAAAATGTCCCCAAATTAATGGCCTGTGCAAAGTCTGAGCTGGATGCAGTCCAGCAGCGGAGGTGGGAGGGTTCCTCCCTGGCTGGCAGCAGGCTGGACACTGCTGCCAGGGACC